CAACCCAGGAACTTCAACGATACGATTACCGTGCTGCGATCGAGCGTGGCGGACTCCGAAGATGCCTTGTGGGGCATGGCACCGAACATGAGCTTCGGACAGGCTTTTGGGACTCATGGCTTAGGGCTTTGGGTTTCGGGNNGGTTTACAAGTTTAGGGGTTTAGGGTTTCGGGGTTTCGGGGTTTAGGGGTTTAGGGGTTTAGGGGTGTAGGGGCTCAGGGTTTAGGGGTTTAGGGGTTTAGACTTTCGGACAGGCGCTGTTGTGGTACTCAGATCGAACTCCTCATGGTGCCCCGGCTCTTTTCTTAATAAGATTCATTTTCGTATATATATATATATATATGTGTAGTACAAATAGCGCAGTTTGAACAATGAGGAATATATGCACACTTGAGCTTGCACAGGGTCTCCACAAGCTTCCATAACGGCCCAGGCGCAGTGTGGCTAAACGACGAACCCGACGTTGAACGCATCTCAGCAGAGATACGAGTGCTCGTCACGGATCGGCCGCCTGCTGGAGGCGTGGACTCTACTCCAGAGCATGTGACGACAGGAGCGATGGAGACGGTGGGGTACCTATGAGTGATTTCGGATTTTCTGCAAGGGCTGCCGTCAGGGTTCTATGAGGGTTGCCGTATGGGATTTGTAAGAGTTGAATCGGCTTTACAAGGTTTTAGAAGGGAGCCCGGCAGCAGAATTTATTACGTAGAAGGGCCTGCACTTGCCAACACCTCGACTGAGGAATTCATTGGCAACGGCATTTAGATTTAGGTTAGTGGCAGCGGCCCCCCGACGCCGACGTGCAGGCGTGCTGGAGGGAGCCGGACTGACCCACGTGCACTGTTCTTTTGCTCTATGCCATAAGCCCTGCGCTTGGCAAGGCTGTGCTGGCAATTTTCCTGCTTATACCCCCCCGGTTCGACACCGTTCGACAAAATTGAGCTTCGCTTCATAGCCGGTTCTGTGTCGTACTGTGGCAGCGATTCACGCAAGCAGGTGAAGTTCGCCCTTACTCGTACTTCAGACGCGATTGATGGTTCCTGCAACTAAGCCAAGCCGGAACTGCTTCTGAACCTCCCCTTACGCCCTCAATCCTAGACACCCGTGGGGCCTGTTCCATAACTCTATAAAGCTTATTTCCCTAAACATCTAAACCCTAAACCCTGAAAAATCTGCATAATGTCATGGCTTCACCGTCCTACGGAGGTGCGGGCTTGGACGGCCTAGGCCATATGTACGGAAACGGCGAGACTAGACGATTTCGGGTTCACCAGCAGAGTTTTAGGGCTGAGGGTTGAGGGGTCTTGGGGTTTAGGGTTTAGGGTTTAAAAGGCTTTACGGTTTAGGGGTTCAGGTTTACAGTGGACAATATTGTGCGCTCAGCAACGTCTAGAGTTTTATGTGTCTGGTCGTGTTAACCTTGGAAAGTTCATGAAGCATAGCGATGACTTACATGCCGTTGCAACTGTTGAAAGCTTGATCTCTAGAAAAAACACAACCCTAAACCCTAGACCCTAGACCCTAAACCCTAAACCCTAAACCCTAAACCCTAAACCCTAAACCCAAACCGAAAAAAAAACTCAACCCTAAACCCATGTTGCCTTGAGCCGAACCCGAAGGCTCTGAGCCCTGGAGCTCGGAAAGCTCCTAAGGTGCTCGTGTCCATGGCCTTCTTCCGGAACTACTTGACAGGCCATCGCGGATTTAGGGTTTAGGGTTTAGGGTTTAGGGTTTAAGGTTTAGGGTTTAGGGTTTAGGGTTTAGGGTTTTGTATGTCCCTCCTCAACTTCGGCGTGCATTTCGAATCGTAGGAAGATAGCATCAAGGGTCTTGTGGTTAATACTGCAAGAACTGAAGCCATTGCCCCAGTGTCGTTGACTGTGCATGTCTTGACATTGATCGTCGGATGTTTGCAGGCAGCTTGTCGACTGTCTAGCTTCTGGATTTGTGATGTGCGTGGTTTGGGGCCTCTTGACCTATATCATTTTGGGGGGTCTCCTTATTATACTTATAGTATATTATGCCCCAAAACCCTCTTCTAATCATTAAGGCCCCTATGTTTTGTTTATATGGTTCTATGCCCAAGAAGGACAGGAGAACGCAGAAGCCCTCAGACTCCCTACGACCCGATCTGAACTCTAATTGTGTCCGAAGCCCGCCGACCTGAAACCCTAAACAATTCAATCTGCCCCGAGACCCCAAGACCCAAAACAAACCCTAAACATCTAAACCCTAAACCCCTAAACCCTAGACCCTGAACCCCTGAACCTGTGCCGAATGCCTACTCGTAGCTGTTTGGGCACGAGCCGGGGCATTTTGCTCTTTGCGTCGAGTTCGAGCCATGACATCGGACTTGCCGGCGATGAAGTGGACCCGTGGTTTAGAGGTTAAAGGATTGGGTTTAGGGCTTTTGGACTAGGGCTTAGGCTGCTTAGGGATGAGGGTTTAGTACCAGGGGATTAGAGCTTTGGAGTTCGGGTTTACTTTGGAAGCTTCGAGTGTGATCTGATTTCGTGCTTTACTAATAAGGTATTAAGGAATGTAAGGGTTTCTGGACGGAGGCGGGCTTAGGATTTGCATGGATGTCTAGACTTTAGGGTTTGGTGTCTAACGGTTTACATATGTTGATTGCCGCAGTCATTATGATCCGTTGTTGAAGATGGTGGTAGTGATGCTGGCGACGATGATGATGATGATGATGACGATGACGGTGCCGGCGATGCCGGATCATGACCATGCTAGAGTGTGTCTCGAATGAGAACTAGATGACAATGGCAACTGCTATTTGTCTTGCGGGTGATGCTGCTGCCACGACAAACACTACTTGTCTCGCCAATACTGCTCTTGCTACTCCTACTCTGGGCAGCCGCTGCTGGCATGGCTTCATCAAGGGTGTGCGTGTGTGTATACATATATATATATATATGTTAGGCTAGTTCCAGAAAAGAAAGGACACCCCCGCTCAACAAAAAGAAGCGCCAAATACAGTGGCTGGCTTCAAGGAGTAGGACTAGATAAGGTACCGCTGCTCATGATTCTTACAGAAGCCTTATATAGGGGCCTAAAATAATTACCTAGACTAGTTTGGGGTTCCTTACTATAACTATAGTATAATGGGCTCCCAAAACCCTATTCTAATTATTCACGCCCCTTTTGTTACTGATGTTGATGTTGCCTGGTAGTGTGCTCCTGTTGCTGTGAAGTAGGGTCTGGCTCACCAAGCGCTTTAACATGGTTCTAGGGTTTAGGGTTTAGGATTTAGAGTTTAGGGTTTAGGATTTAGAGTTTAGGTTTTAGGATTTAGAGTTTAGGGTTTAGGGGTTCTTGAGCTCTTCAACCCCTAAACCGCCAGATTCGGAGCCTGAACCTCTAAACCCTAAACCCCAAAACCCCCAACCTTAGCTGCTTCGTTAAGGATCTCCTGCGTTCTTCTCGCATGGGACGTCCGATGACATCTTGCACAAAACCCCCAACCCCTAAACCCCCAAACCCCCGACGCCAAAAGCTTCGTTCATGTGCTACTCTATAGATTCGAAAAGGTAGAACCTCCAGATACCTCAGCCCGAAGTTACTGTAACCCCTTGAGGTTTAGGGTTTTGGGTTTAGGGATTGGGGTTTAGCCTGACTTGATAGATTATGAGATTCGCAGGTAATACAGGGCTAGGAAAAAAAACTACTAGTGTTTCCTTGGCCCGCACCACCCTAAGCCCCTAAGCCCTGATAGCCGAATAACCACAAACCCTAAACACCACCCTCTGAGCCAATCAAACTTGAGGCTAATCTTCGGCTGTGGTGGCGTCGGTGGTTACTTCGGAGCGCGCATCGCACAGGCGTGGCAGGTTGAGTCAGGGAGTATGAAATGAAGATATACCTTTACAGATCCTCTGTAGGTTCTCCCTCGTGAAAGAGATTGGAGCACCTGGCGCTTCCTCATACTTCTCCTTCCCAAGGAGAAACATTCGAGCATATAGGGCTTCTTGATTTGATTTTACGTATGCTCAGTATACTCCTAGATACAAGATGATCGGCTCTTTTGCACATCTATCAAAGTCTGCTTGGCCACACAGTCAGCCGTTTGTCTTTGTCGACCAGGGCCCAAATCTTGCACGCGTGGCCGCAAAACTCAGGTATGGTAAAATGCTTATTGCAAGCATCAAGCATCAGGGTTTAGGGTTTAGGGTTTACCCATAGGCCCCATAGTAGCTCCTTATTTGGGTTTAGGGTTTAGGGTTTAGGGTTTACCCATAGTCATAGGCCCCATAGTAGTTCCTTTTTGAGATTACCTAATAGGATTCTAAATATGAACCCCAAAAAGGAACTACTGCGGGGCCTATGATTAAGGGATCATGGGACTTAGTAAGTAGGGTTATAACTAAGGTAACTATACTTATAACCCCAAATAGGGGACTTATAACCTTACTTACTAAGTCCCATGATCCTCCAAGTAAGGTGCCCGGACAGAAAGTCAGCTACATTGCGACCCGGCTGCAGGAATCCAGAGACTCCAATATCCCTTAATTCAGGAATATACCTTAAATTATAGTAGGGTCCCTAACATGACTTAAGGTATAGTCCTTAATGAGGGGATATTGGAGTCTCTGGGAAACGAGACAATGTCCAAGTGCTAACAATCGCATGTATCCGTCATGCTACTAACCCACAACCATTACTACAAGGCTAAGCCAAAGAGCTTTATCCATTCCAGACCCGAAGCCCTAAAACCCTAAACCCTAAACCCTAAACCCTAAACCCTTGGACCATGGGGTTTACCGCAAGGTCGGCGATGTTGGTTACATACTTAGCACCAGATGCCCTGCACCTGAACCCCCAACGAATTTCAGGCCCCGGGGTGCTGGTAAGGACTTTTAGGGTTTAGGGTTTAGGGTTTAGTTTAGGGTTTAGGGTTTAGGGTTCAGGATTGAGAGTTTAGGGTTCAGGATTCAGGGTTTTTGGTTTATTTTGGGGTTGAGTGTTCGGTGCTTTCGGTGTGAAGTTTCGGGTTCAGTTTGGGCTCGAAAGTCGCACCGAGTTGCTGCTACATGCAGCCACTGGTTCCAGGTAAAGGGCTCGAATAAAGGGGCTTTAACAATTAGAATATGGTTTTGGGCTCCTTTATAGTATTCTTACAATAAGGGGTAATTATTTAGGCTTCTATACTAGGTGTGTAGGATGTGAGTGTTCCGGTTGAATTAGGGTTCAGTGCAGAGAGCAGTATACGCTTTGTGGACCCGATTGCCAAAATTTCGCAACATTAATGGGCTAGACCCTGTCATCCCTAGTCACCCTAGGTCCCATATACTCCACCCACTGCTAGAGCCTCGAAGCCTACAATCAGGTTCGAAACAAGGCGTTGGCGGCTCTGAAAGAGCACGGCGTTCGCATTACCAGCATTTGTGGAGATGTTCAGGCCGCTACAATGGTTCATACAGAAGCCTAAATAATTCCCAAAATAGTTTGTTAGGGTTCTTTGTGATAGTTCTTCTATGTTACTATAAGGTCCCCCCCCCACCACCACCAAAAAAGCGTGTTCTAATTAAGGACCCTAGTTGTTGGAGCTTTGAGGCTTGGGTTTGGGGCCTGGTTGAGGACTTGAGCCTGGGTATTAATCAACACCCTTCGCTTCCTAAACATATCGTTTTGGGTTTATGGCTTAGGGAGAGGGTTTACGGTTCAGGAATATATATATATATACACACACATACGTACACACATGTATGTACATATATATATATATATATGTTGTTATTGTTATGTGTATTTTCTTGTTCTAAAGGATCTGTTAGTAACACTGACTACGATTGTTATTGTTACCATGACTCTTATGACTGTTGTCGCTACTGTTAATGTCCTGATTCTGAGTGTTAAGCGTATGTTTATTGTAAAAAATTGTCGCTAGTATTCCTAAACCCTAAACCACAAACACTACACCCTAAACCCTAAACCATAAACACTACACCCTAAACCGTTGGCCATCAGGGCCCCTACCATCCGATGTCAAACCCTCAGCAAGTTCGGCTCAAGGATCCCAGGCCCCAAGCCGAAGCCTGCACACCTTCTTTGAGTTTAGGGTTTAGGGGTTCAGGGTTTATGGTCTTAGGGGTTTAGGGTTTAGGGTTCAGGGTCTAGGGTCTAGGGTTTTGGGGTTCGGGGTTTGGGGTTTAGGTTATACAGGGTTCAGGATTTCAGGGTTGTTTTTCTTGTAGGAACAGGCCCAGAATCATAATAAAGCAACCTACTATGCATATATATATATATATAGATGTGTATGTATATATATATATATATGTATACATACATACATACATACATACATACATACATACATGACATGACATGACATAATGCCCCCTATAGATGTAAATACACATACATATATCCTCAGGGTTTAGAGTTGACCAGTATTGACGGTCAGGGTCCTGTAATAATACAAGTCTGGTTGGCCGAAAAAGAGCAACAACGACGGTTTAGGGTTTAGGGTTTAGGGTTTAGGGTAAAGCCTTAAATAGCTCAACATTCCTAAATCACCGGATCCTCTTTAACTGCCCGAAGGACAACCATGAATTCCTTGACCGAGCCGTGACAAGCTTGAAAACACAACACAACTCCGCAGGCGTAAACATAAGGCAAGCAAAAAGATAGCAATAGTACAAGAACACCGGACAACAACTAAACCCCTAACCCCCAGCCACTTTTGACACGGATATCCCGATTTCGTAATAATGTATCCACAAAGCCCACAGAAGAGTCTACGCCAAGAGACCCTTTTGTAATTCTCAAGCCTCCTATTTTAACCACATGAACCCCCATAATACACCATAGAGATTTCTGGAGTGAAGGCATCTTTACTACGCCATGAGGCACTCCCCAAAAGTCCATGGACTCATCCAGTAATACTGTAGCCTTGACGTTACTTCATTCGAACCCTTTTCCGCTAGCTACCTAATCTAGGCAGTATCGGTATATGGATGCTTAGGCCCTGTAAGGATCGCCATCCCTCGAAGCTAAAGCCCTTATAAAGCCCTTATAGACCCTACAAGTAAAGGAAACCTTCAAGCGCTGAACCCTAAACCCAACCAAAAACCCTACGCCCTATAAACTCTAAACCCTAAAGTGTAACCCTGCCCTCAGATCCCAGCCGCCGACCTGGGACCGACTTTAGATTCCCAGAACTTAGACAAGGAGGAGCGCCCCTTGGCTGACGTAACCTATTTTTAAAGTCTAGGGGACTTGATATTAATATAGGGGCCTTGATAATGATCTATAATATTTTTTGGGGCTCCTTGTTATAATTATAGCACAATATATCCCAAAGAGCTCTTAAGCCAACCTGATCGTTCGGATCCCATGAGGTAACCCCTAAACCCTGAACCCTAAACCTAGAATGGAGACTATAGGTAGGTGTGACTGTTTTGTTGTGCCCTAGACGCGACAATCCAAATTAAAGCCTTATACATGTACTCCGGTTGCGAGGTCCCCCAGGCCCATAAGTAGGGGCCCTCCGGTCTTTTCGAGTTCTATTCTCAAGGTCGAGGGAGTTTCGGAAGGTTCGGTTTAAGTTTAAGGCACAAGACGGGATCTTGAACAATGATCGTACATTTCTGTTTATGATAACATTAAGTGCATTTTTACTGTGAAACGTGCCTATACACCCCAACACCACCAAAGTCTACTTCCCATATTCAACTGTATCCTGAGGGTAGGGTACCCTCGGCCCTAGACCATGACCCTTCAGCGCTGGCTGTAGCTACTCCTTTGACATGAGATTGAGGTTGGATCTTCGACCACAAGGCACTTCTCCATTTATTCTGATCTTTGAGAGTCTGATCGTTTAGTAGTGCTGTGCGTACTGCCATTTAGTGGTGGTTGTGGTGGTCGTCGTCGTACTAGTACTAGTAGTAGTAGTAGTAGTAGTAGTAGTAGTAGTAGTAGTACTAGTAGTAGTAGTGGTAGTGGTAGTAGTAGTAGTAGTAGTAGTAGTAGTAGCATGCAGCTGCCACAGCAGCCGCAGGAGTAGTAGCAGTAGTAGTAGTNNTACTAGTAGTAGTAGTGGTAGTGGTAGTGGTAGTAGTAGTAGTAGTAGTAGTAGTAGTAGCATGCAGCTGCCACAGCAGCCGCAGGAGTAGTAGCAGTAGTAGTAGTAGTAGTAGTAGTAGTAGTAGTAGCAGAGGAGCAGGAGTAGTAGCATGGGTAGAACTCGCAGAAAGGTATCGATGCCAGGTTCCCATGTTCGAGGATGTGGACTTCGGGGTTTTGGGTTTGCGAGATGATCTATGAGGTTCTCTTGGCATATGGCCTTGAGTCTATCCGGATCATCGCGATGGCTTGAATTTTCTCTATTTTAATTTAGTCAGAACCCTGGTCATACATTACAGGATTCGAAGGATCGTGACGCAGATCTTGCTATCGCTGCACCGCCAACCTACATCCTGAAACACCAAAGCTGCAGGCAACATTCTATCCCCAACGTGCCAAGGTTTCGTCGCCGACGTGATTATGCTGGGTTGCAAGGCCTCACGATGCGGTGTTGTGGGATGTTTCAGCTCTTTTCTGAGGATGGGCCTCCAAAAATGGATGTAGGGCTTTAAATAAACTTTAGGGTTTGAGAGTAAGAGGGTGATTTAGGCACTTGAGCGTCGGGAAGTTTAGGGTTCCGGGTGTTTTGGGAGTTTGTTTAGGCTTGGAAGGTTGTAGGCTTTGGCTGTCAGGGCTTAAAGTCAGGGCCTTAGGGTGTAGCTTTATAGCTGTGTGAAAGGGTGCGGGGTTGTGCAGCTGTCTGGTTGAAATTTTCGGGTTTAGGGTTTAGGGTTTAGGGTTTAGGGTGATGATTTAACAAGGCAGGCTTAAGGACGGAGCAGCTGAATGTTCCGCCAGGTTAAAGCGGCTCTGGTTGTAGGTTTACCGTGGGTTTAGGGTCTGCATTGGGGTTTTGGTTATGATGTTGGTGCACAGGGCTTAATTTAGGTTTTTGAGTCGTGGGACCAAAGTCTCAGCACGAATCCCAGGCAGATGCCTCCAAGCTCGCCCTAGTAACCCCAAACCCACCCAAAAGCCGACCCCCGCTCAAAAACAACAGCCACAACAAAAAACAAACGCAGCATACAAACCCCGAAACCTCTAACCTCTAGGCCTCAACCCTAAACCCTCAAACCTAAACCCTAAACCCTAAAAACCTCTAGGCCTCTTAAAGACTGAACCAGGGCAAGAGCCGGGAGGCTACCGCCGTTTCTTTAAAGGCCGAGCGTCCTTAGCAGGTTGTAGAGCTCTGCGTGCCGTAAGGCCCTAAGGAAGCCTGCCCCAACTTACAAATCTAGACTCTAAAGTTAAGGGTTTGGGGTTTAAGGACCACCCTAGAAACCCTACAAACCCTAAA